GCTTCCTGACTGCATGAACTGAGAAGTGCATGGTATCACTGCTGTAGCCTTCTTTAAAAAAAAACCAAAAAAACCCCAAAGCATCACCTAAATGAAATCATGAAGAAAAATCAGAAAAACCTAAGCTGCAGCACATTCTAAATAATGCTCCTCTGCTCTTCAAGTGTCAAAGTGATCAATGTCTAAGAAAAGTAAAAGAATTGTTCCAGATTAAAGACATGTTATGAGTTTTGAGAAGTAGGAAGGGCCAGAGTATGTGGAGATTTGGAAGCCACAGTAAGGAAGTAAGGCATTTTATCATAGAATCAATGAGAAATTACTGAAGAGTTTTAAGAGGAGTTTAGGGTATGGAGTCAGTGTATCAGTGAAGATCCCAACAGGAATGAAATAGCATATTCAAGACAATTTGAGTAAGGTTAATTTACATAGACAATATAAAAGTTTGCACATAGGAAACCATCTATCTAAAGTCAAGGGATGGGTGAAAAGAAGAAAGTCTGGGATCTAGACTGACAAAGAGTGGCCAATCAAGGAGGGTAAAGTCATAGAAATGGAAGACGATTTTAAGGAGGGGATAATTAACAATGTCAAATGAGCAAGATAAGAGCTGAAAATGTCCTTTAAATATAGTCATTTGAACTTTGCTAAGAACTTTTCCAGCAAAACAGTGATGGAGGAAGGCAGATGAGGGAACTGAAGAGTAAGTGAGAAAATGGGGACAACTCTTTGATTTGTTTGGCTGGGTTGGGGAGAACATACTTCATTTTGTAAATTTTCCAATTATCCACTTTGAATAATAGGAACACCTTTTAAAAATTTCCCTAAAGAGGGGCCAGGGATTTAGCTCAGTGGTTCCGCCACCTGCTGCACAAGTGCAAGGTTCCAAGTTCTAGCCCCAGTACCAAAAAAAAAAAAAATTTCCCTAAAGAGAGTGGGGATTTAGCTCAGTGGTGCCACCACCTTGCAAGCACAAGGTCCTGAGTTTGATCCCCAGTACCAAAAATTTTTTTTTAATTTCCCTAAAGAAAAATTCTAGAAATTTTTATGCTGGGCATGATGGTGCATGCCTGTAGCACTCAGGAGGCTGAGGCAGGAGGATTGCCATGAGTTCGAGGCCAGCCTGAGCTACACAGTAAGTTCAAGGCCAGCCTGAACTACATAGTGAGATCCTGTCTCAAAATAGTAATAATAATAATAATAATGATGATGATGATGATGATAGATTCTTTGTGCCTTGAATTTTAAGTTTTACAAAGTAACTTTATTAACAAATCATAATCAAATAAAATGTTCAACATTAGCATTTAAGTGGCCCTCCTGATTTCCAAATCCTAACATGATCATCAAAAATAGAAAATGTCCTAAGGTCACAGTTACAGAAATATTAACATTTTCATTTGAGAGTACTCAGGCACGCTGTAGTGGTTAAGCTTAATTGTGTCTAATTGATTGGATTGGGTGCTGCCAACGGCATTAGTAAAGTGCACTTCTGGGCATTTCTGGGTGAGTCACGGAGATGCGACTTGGGGTATTTTATCTGGTGCTTCACACCATCCTCTCTGGCATTGTTCACTTTCTCTGCTTCCTGGCCACCATGAACTTTGTTCCATCATGCCCTTCTGCCATGATGTTCCAGCCTTCAAGGTAACCATCCTTGGACTGAAGTCCCTGAAACCAGGAGTCAAATAAGACTCTCCTCCTTTAAATTATGGATGTTGGGTATTGTGTCTCAGCGACAGGAAAACTACTACTCATGATTTAAGGGCTACAGAGACAACATTCTAGTGCCTAATTTAAACTTGTAAAACAAAAACTTTTTGTGATGTTTTCCCCAAAGGAAAATATATAGAACACATAAATATTATTTTATTCATTACTATTGCTAATTTCTGGAGTTTTGCTTTTGGAAGGCTCCTTCAGGTTGCATAGGAGATTTTCATGTGTACTTGGTGCTGGCTTTTATTGTTTTTTATATAAGTTTTGGGAAAAGCCATACTATTTGACTTCTCTCTTGTCATCACTTGCCTCGCCTATGGCTCTTGCTACCATCATTCATTGCTATTTCTAAGTGCTGAAAATTTTCTCAAGTGATCATGATCTGAACTAACCTTAAATGGTCTGACTTTTTTATAGTTAGAGCCCCATGAGATTCTGATAACCTTCATGAGTACTAGATGGCCCAGGTCACCTCTCAGCTTTCTCTGACTCCAAACCAAAGTCTCAAGCAATCTACTTTTCTGTTACCTCCAGCCTTATTCTTTTTCTTTCTAGGATAGATATTCAATTTCATTTGATGGATTACTAGCCTGAAAGTTTATATCATTATTTTTTGATGAGGATTCTCATGTGCCCAGAGTTCCTGAGGGAAGTTTTAAAGTCCTTCTTATAACCCTACTTGTTATATTACTGGTTTTCAAAAATAGGTGGTTCTGAAAATTAGAATTATTGTGAGAAGTCATTACGTTACAAACATATGAGGTACAATTAAAAAAAATGGTGAACAATGCTGCTGAGTGTCACCCAACAGAAAGGTAGAGATCTTCAATTCAAGAAGTGGCTCATCTAACCTTTAACCCTGCCTGACAAGTTTCAACTTGTCCAGTGCAGTCAGCTCGGAGCTACGGTTGAGAGGTGTGTTTTACAGTGTGCTGTAAATCAGGGATCACGAACAACACATTAACATGAAATACTGTCAATTTCATGGGAATTGTGTAATTCTGCTGCCTGAGACTCCAGTGTTTTTTAAAAAACATCATAATGGGAAATTAAATGTGAGTCTATGATTCTGCGACCAAGGTTCAGTGTCTTCGATGGAAATCACTCAATTCTTGTGCAAAAAGTGTGTCGATCAAGACCCAATGTTAAGGTGATGTTGACTGTATTTTTTTACCTTCATGGAATTTTGTGAGCTGAATTTGTACCAACAACACTACAGTGAGCTCTGAGTATTCTAGGAGTTTATTAGAGAATTTAAGAAATAATGTGTGTAGAAAACAGACCAAAGAACAGGCAAATATTTCATCCTCCATTGTGACAACACTCTGTGTCACACATTACTTCTGGTTGAGCAATTTCTGTCAAACAAAAACATTAGAGTGTGTCTTCAACCACCTTACTCACTGGATCTGGCACCATGAGACTTCTGGCTGTTCTCTCAAAATGGTCATGAAAGGTAAACATCTTAAGTTGATTCAGGACATCGAGGTAGCCCCAAAAACAAAACTAAAGACATTCACAAAGGACAACTTCCAGAACTGTTTCAGAAAACTGCAAGAATGACAGGAAATGTATTGCAAAGTGAGGGAGTGATTTTTACAGCAATAAATTTTAAAAGATTTAAACATTCAATGTTTTTTTTTTAAATCATCTCATTCTTTAAAAAATATTATGTCTTTTTGAGCCTATTTCCTTTGGAATTTGGTTGAAATCAGCCTATAATTTAAAATTAGATTATACACAGAGGCACAATATTTTCATCTCTTCATTTCATGGGAAGTCAACTAAAACAAGAAAGAATTGGGCCGGGGATTTAGCTCAGTGGTTCCAGTGCCTGCCACACAAGCACAGGGTCCCAAGTTGGATCCCCGGTACCAAAAAAAAAAAAAAAGCAAGAAAGAATTATTACTGAACTATCCTCAATTACCAGTGTTTAACAATGTGTATATTCAATAACTGTGAAAATTAGAGCTCTCTTTCTAAAATAGATGCATTTTGTTTGGGAAATTGCCTTTCGATTAATTGCAACACACATTTCTTAATTCTTAATATCAATGGTTTTTGTTCTAGTAGATGGAAAGAGGTAGCTTGATAAGAAAACTATTAGAATTCAGACTAAGAATCAAATTTTTAAATGAAGGCCAATGAAAATTTCTAATTTTAGCTCCCTAATTAGCCACAAGCAATTGACATTAAAATTTCTTTCCTAATTCTTTAAGTTTCAATTTCCTACCCTAAAATGTCATTGAGAACAAATGATAAGTTAAGCTGGTTGGGAACTATTTGCCTGAGGAGCCCAACCCAGGTCTCTGACAATACAGTAAACAAGAGCTGAAAAATAAAAAAGGCTGACCTCCTACAAGGGCTATATGCTTTTAATATATATAGTCATACTTGGAAAATACCATTTGTGTATGTCCTTATATTGCTTCTGAACTGTGAGAAAAAGCCAAACATATATTTTAAGAGGCAAAACATGTATTTCAAATCAGCCCTTTTATTGTAGATATAGTAACTGGAGAAAAATTTCATAACTAAATCTTTAAGTTTTAAGAAGTCCTTTCTTAAAAAAAAAGGCACCATACAATTTTAGGACATCTACACAAAAGTATGTTCAATATAATCTGAATTTCTTGATTTTAATGCTTGAATCCAAATCCAGTACATACATATTCAACAACTCATTTTACTTCCAACAAAGTGAAATTCAAAGGAAAAAGTATTATCTTTCTAAATATAAGTGATATAAAACTACATTTGAGCTGGGCGTGGTGGTGCATGTCTGTAATTCTGGCACCCTAGAGGCTGAGGCAGGAGGATCACCATGAGTTCAAGGCCAGCCTGGGCTGCATAGCGAAACAAAAAACAAAAAGCTACATTTGATTTTCATCAGTTAAAAGCATAAATGGTTTTAATTAAAATCAAATAAAAAGGAACATTTATGATACAGATTCCTTATTAAATTAAAATAAATAACAGCATAAATGTATGTGCATGCATGTGGGGAAAATATATGTATAACCTGATAGGTCTCCCACCACCTCAGCAGCTATTATGTATAGTAGCTGCATGGTGCCTTGCCCCCTCCCCTGTGTGACATCATGCCAAGATGGTTGCTCCCACCAAAGAATAAACCCTTCTTCCCAGTATGCCCCTGTTCCCGCCTAGAAAGTAACCTAATACTCGCTCACCTCCTACCATCTAGTGACATCATGGGCTCCTCCATTCCCTAGTCACCACCTCACTCAACCCCACCTCAGCCCCTACAAACCCCACCCCAGTCTCTATAAAAGACTCTCCCTGCCCCGGGCATATTGCTTTTGTCTCTCCTTTGTTCAGAGACAGCCCGGCAGATCTATTCCCCTAATAAAGGCTTGTTGTGGCCTGGTCTGGTCTTGGTCTTTGGCCCTTTTACCTGACAACCCATAAGATCAAATGAAATATGCAGCTACTGTAGCTTTCCATGATAGCCCACGCTGTGTTTTCCAGATGCAGCACATACTTTTATCTCTGTTCTTACCCTCTTTTTCTATTTACTTGGCCTAAGTTTGCTCTGCAGAGCCAGTTTCTCCCCCACTCTTCACTTTTGCTTAAATAAACTTTGAAAAAAAAAAAACGAAATAGCATTCCCTGTTTATATAACAAAGACAAAGAACTCCTAGGTGTGAACTCCTAGATCACATACACCTTCATAAAACTTTTTTATCCATAGAATCCCCTTGCGAGTAGCTATTAGATGCCATACAAATTTTTGTCCACGGATTTAATTTTTTTTATTAACCTTTTCTTCATGATTTTTTCTCAAAAGATAAATTGTATATTTTTTAAAAATATAAGGATCCAACTTTCAAACTATATTACTACAGTCTTCAGAAACAATTCATTTCTTCAGTTCTCCATGCACACCTGGGATGGTGGAAACCTCAGCTTGAGGTTCTTCTGTTTCCCCCTTAAAAACAACCTCAGCAGGCCCCGAGTGATCTGGTACCATGGATTTCACAGCATGGGCTGCGTAGTTAAGGCTGGTATTTTCATTCCAATGCCAGTAACCTGAGAAGGGGTTGTAAAGCATTCCTGCCACAGTTTGAACTGACAGACCATCTGAAAAAAATATCAGAAAGTGTAGCCTTAAAAAATATTTACCTTCCAAGTACCAAAAGTCTCCTATAACTCTGCATATTAAAAAATAATTGCTAATTTAATGGGCAAAAATTCTTTGTTATCACGTACAGATCATAATTTAATACAGACTAGAATACATACAGCAGACTGCCAAGATTCAAACCCCAGCTCTGGTACCTCCTACACAGTGATCCTAGGCAAGACACTTATCCTTTCTGAATCTGTTTTCCCACATGAACAGAACATACATCATAGAGTTGTTGGAATTAGAAGAGATATTTGTATAAAGTACAGTTCTTGGAATTTGAAAAATACATAAAATAAATGTTAGCTGTTATTAGAAACTATCTGTCAATAAAATACTATTTTCAACAAAGTTACAGAAATCTCTAGAACACACTAGTTTGCTATGGACTATTAATATTCCAAGTATTTCAAGTTTAATACATTGTGGGCTGGGGATTTAGCTCAGTGGTTCTGGCGCTTGCCTTGCAAGCGCAAGGTCCCAAGTTCAATCCCTAGTACCAAAAACTAAAACTAAAACTAAAAATAAAAATAAAATAAAAATACATTGTTATATAAACAAAAAGCATTATAAATACAATAAGTCTAAGTACTCAACAAGAATACTTAATGCCAAATAAATGAATTGAAAACCACTATTACTGAACTGGGAGTGGTAGTGCGTGCCTGCAATCCTAGCATTTGATAGGCCCAGGCAGGAGGATTGCGCAGAGTTCAAGGCCAGCCTGGGCTACATAGTGGGTTCAAGGCCAGCCTGACCTACACAGTGAGACCCTGTCTCATAAAACAAAAAACAAAACAAAACAACACTATTACTTGACAGGAACGCAAGACATAAATTGACTGCTTACTGTGTGTAATACAGAATGAGGTAATGTAGGAAGTACAAAAAAGAGACATAATCTTGTCTTAAAGGAGCTTATATGCCAAAAAAGGGCAAAAACCCACTACAAAACTATAATATAAAGTGTGCTGTAAGTAACATAAGATATATAAAATGTGACAAGAAAGTTCAAAATATATCTGCGTACAGAGGAATCAGGAAAAATAAGAAAGATAAGTTGATATATACAGGGCTTAGTAGGGTGAACTGAGGATGCATATAAATAAATAATATACATTTGACTTGTATCTCATCCTTTAACAAGTGAAGGCAAAATACTCAAAAGGTATTCATTTGTCATCTATTATTAGCTTGACTCTGGGTTAGGTGCCACGAGCAGGACAGAAGAGAGGTACCTACTACTTAATTCCAACTTCAAAAAGTGTAAGACATAGTTGAAGAGATGAAACCAACATCCCAAAGATAGTGACCTAATTAGTTGTACTAGGTTATGTGATTAATAATTACAGTGCATTAAAAGTTCAGTTAAGTCTTGAAATTTCAAAAAATTCTTCATACTTACTCGATTCCAGAATGCTCTCTAGCTTTTCAGGTGAAACAAACTTCTCCCATGTATGAGTACCTTTTGGCACAATGCCCGCAATCTGCTCTGCAAACACAATCCCCAAGGCATAGGACAGCTGTGTTTTGTTGATTGTAGTAATGAATAAAGAACCAGTAGGCTAAAAGAAGCAGAATTATACAGAGGTAAAAATGTATAGAAGTAAACTTGAAAAAGTTATGAGTATCAGTTAAGTACAGGCTTGGCTTCCCCTCTCCTTCTTTTCAAATGTTTTAAGTATAGTTAAGATACATAAGTATGAATAAAATATAAATTGCCAAAATAGTATTTTTTTTTTCCTTTGGGAAATCTACTGTTAAAGGCAATCTACTACACATTCCCTGAGTCTACACAACAGTGCTTATAACTCTTAAAATCATAAATTACTAGGATGTATGTGCGGGGTTTTTTTCTCTTACTTATTTGCAAGTGTTCTCTGACAAAAATGTTAATGATTAACGTTTGAAATTTTTTGTTTTAATTTGATTTCATTTGTATAAATACTATGAAGAGATCAAGATAAGCACTTAGGTGCATGCAAACCAGAAATGGGACTGTTTAGTTTGCGTTTTTTGGTTCTACTCTGATTATATTTATAGCATTTCCTACATTTAGTCTTACAAATGTCAAGGACACAAATATCCCCTCACTCTTTTACATATTATCATTAGTTTGATGAGGATAAAATACCAGAAATTCCCTCCAAAATAATTAGATTACTCTTTCTACATACATTGGGGTAGAGAGAAAGAGATAACATATTTCAAATACCATCTCAAACCAAAAGTAAAAATGGTAAGAGGAGCCCTGAAATACTGGGGTGTGCACTTAAATTAAAACTTGAAATACTACATACTATATCATCATACATTGTAATTTTCCTCTGTAGAACTATGGCACAGTATTCTAAAATACCTTATTGAGACTCACTTATGAATCTGATCATCTATCTAGTCTGTGTTCAATAAAACTGTACACTAAAGAATTAGTGATAAACGATGTTTATTTTTTTAAAATACAGGGTCTCCGTTATAGCAAAAATTGTTTTAAAGCCCAAAATGCCAGCATTCCCCATATGTGTCAAAGAACCTCCACTCATATGCACATACTAACACACAACACAGAAATTAATAATTAAGGAGTTTTACTTGGACAACAGGAAATAAGCCTTAATACAACTCCATTTAAAAGTAACACCAAGAAACCATCACAGAATAAAGAATAAGGAGACATGGCAACGAATTGTAATGTAGGAATCTGGATTGGATCCTGTAATGGAAAAATGGCATTAGCAGAAAACTAATGCAATTTAACAAGGTCTGCAGTGCCTTAAGAAGCCTAACACCAATATCCGTGGTTCTGAGAACCTGATGTTCACGGGTAGCACCACGGTGAACTGGGACAAGTTCTAGGACACAGACCCACAACAGGCAAGCCCTTCCATGTGTGCAAGTGGGGGCCTGCACCTGACAGGCAGGGTCCCCTTCGCTTTTGCGTCCTCGGTGCCTCACTTGCTCACCTTAGCTCCTACCCTTCTGTAGGTGGTTAACATTAGAGGGTGACAGGTGAAGGTGACACTCTACTGTCTTTACAACTCCTCTGTAAATCTATAATTACTCCAAAATAAAGCGTTTTAGATTTTTTTAAAAGCTCTACTGAGATACGGGCTAACCATCTCATTCTTTTAGCTTTTGACTGAGCTTCTTAAATTTTTTTAAAAAGCTCATTTTAGATATTGGCTAAGCATTTCATTCTTTTAGCTTTTGACCTTAGGGTGTAACATTTTAAGCTTATAAACAGAGTCTATATATAGCAATAATAATAATAGGACTTTAAGGCTATTTCTTATAAGAAAGTTTGGAAACACATTTAGAGAACTAAGTCTGGGCAAATTATATACCAATAATAAGTAATGACGATAATCAGACTTGGAATCAAAGGATCTAGCCTTAAGCCCCATCTAAGTGCCCAGTGATCTTTGCCATCTCACAAACCCTGAGTCCTCATATGTCAACAAAGGTGATAACAACATCTGCTTTTCCTTCATTACTGGGTGCTACAAAAAGTCAAATACATATTAAGTAACTCTCTCATAAGCTGAAAACTCACATACAGAGTAACTTAAATACGATTTAAGTAAATTTATGCTAATCATTGTCTCTACTGATTTTTAAGTATTAAGTGAAATTCACTGCTTGGTAATTTTCATATAACATCAATTAAGTATTTAATCCTAACTATCTCCATGAGGAAATATCACTAAAAATGCAGTTTTCAAATAGTTAACACTAACATTTTCCAAGGCACATTAAGATACTAGTAGGACACTGAAAAACCCTGCTACTGAGGTTAATCTGATGGGCAGGAGTAATCTCCAGCAGATAACCCCTAATCCTGGTTTCTTGTTCCTTCTCTCCTATACCTTGTCTGCTAGACTGCTAAAGTATTATGGAATACTTTTTTTGCTATGGATATATCCACACAGTCAGAAGAAGAAACAAACAAATAAATTCCTAAATCTTACTTTTAACACTTGACGGCAGCACTGTATAAATGTTTCCAGATCAGCCACATGTTCTACAACTTCAGAAGCTATAACGGCATCAAAAGTTTCTTCAGTTTCTTCCACGATCTCTTCCAGAGAACATACCCTGTACTCTATCCTCTTATCCAGGACTGGATCAAATGCTTTATGGTGCTGTGCTGTTTTAATGTTTTCATCCACAGGATCGATTCCAAAAACTGAAGCCCCTAGACGCCCTAGAGGCTAATGATACAAAAAAATCATCACTCTCAGGAAGAAAGGACAACACATGTTAGCAATAAAAACCTTATCAAAAATGAAAAAAGATTGGGCCAGGGATTTAGCTCAGTGGTTCCACCACATGCTCTGCAAGCTCAAGGATCAGAGTTCGATCCCCAGTACCAAAAAGAAAAAGAAAAGAAAAGAAGATTAATCATGAGGTGGCAATTACTGGAGTTCACTTATGGGTATATGGGTTTATATATTTTGAAATTTTCTATAATGAAAAGCTAAAAGTGAGAATAATCAAAACAACAAAGATCTATGTTTACTTGCTTCTCTAGTACAGTATTAATACACTTCAAATGCAATAAATGTAACATGCCATGTAAAAACAGCTATCATTTCTGAAATATGAAAACATTCTTTTTTCTTTACTGTCAATTAAACTGATTAACTTTATTGGGTTTAAAACTATATCAAAGTTCACCCTAAAACATTTTGCAAGGCAAAATTATTTAACTCAAGGAATATTTAATAAAATTGAACACTAGAAATTACAAGCAATTTTCAAAACAAAATATGAAAACATTCTAATGAACAAATGTTTTCAATATTTTCTTCTATAATTAACCAAAAATACTTTTTCTTTTCTATTCTTTTCTTTTCTTTTGTGTGTGTGTGTGTGTATGTGTGTGTTTTGCTGGGGATCGAACTCAGGGTCTTATGTATGCTAGGTACCCAAACTACCATAGAGCTATCTCCCCAGCCCCAAGAAATAATTATCACAGCTAATTCTTTGTTCAGTTTTTAGATTTGAAACTTCCCATTACATGCTCAAGTATTTAAATACAGGCTGAATATTAATCAAACTTGCATAGTATTTTTATTAAACAAAGTCAATAAGCTAAAAGTATAATCACATTATTTTAAATTGAGACATAAGATCTACAATAATTACATTTAGCAGATTGCAGAACACATATATTAAAATCTTAGTTAAAATTTATATACCACATATTCTTGATCTAATGGATGTATTTTTACAGCTTTCCCATTGCTGGACATAATACCCAGCACTCACAACTTAAAAGAGGAAAGGTTTAACTTAGCTCACAGTTTGGGAGGATTCAGTCCATAGTCAGCTGCCTCTAAGGTAGGAATATCAAAATGGAGGGGGATGGCAGAGCAAAGATGCTTAGTTTACAGTGGCTGGGGAGCGGAGTGAGCAGGGGAACAGTGCTAGACAGGAATGGGCAAGGGATCATATATAGTACCCAAAATCATGCCTCCAGGACCCACCTAGACACACTCAGCAGTGTCCTTTAATAATCTGCTAAGCGCTTCTTTATTCAATGAAGCTGACATTAGGATAATAGTCACACACATTTTGGGTTTCTTGAAATGTTATAATTCATGTCAAAAGAAGCCAGCCCACATCAAGTGAAGAACATAGTTTCTGTAACATGAGAACCTAACCATACATCAAAGGCCTCTATTAGTTTCACTGTCAACAGGGCTGAGTTTTGGACCTGGACAATATCATATCCCATTTAATCATTTTATTTTATTTTGTTTTTTGGTACTGGAGATTAAACCCAGGGCCTTCTCACTAAGCTACAACCCTAGCTTCCCTCCAACTTTTTTGGAGATAGGGCCTCACTAAATCGCTAAGTTGCCCAGGCTGGGCTCAGACCTGCAGGCCTCCCACTTTAGCCTCCAAGAGTGCTGGGATTACATGCATGTTTCACCACTCCAGCTTAAATCTTAACATTTTGTTATTTCCCTAGTGTTGCTTAAATGTCTTTCAAAGATCAAATTATGATACAGCATTGTAGCAAGAAGTTCCTGTGCTGATAGAAGAATATAAAATAAAACTGCAAGGTATAAAATTACTATAAACTGAACCAAATATTCTTCATGGGAAAAATAATTACTCTTGCAAGTACTCTACAGCACCCAAGAAAGATCCCCACTAATAGGCAAAATTCTATTAGGTTCTGCAATTAAATGCAAACAAACAGCCTATTATTGCATTTAAGGCAGTAGGAGCTCCCTAATTTCTTGTGACAAAAAAGTTCACAGAAAGCTATCTGAATGACCCATGTCCTAATTTTAATTAAAAAAAAAACCTTCAGTATAATTTTCTTGTCTGTCTGTCTACCTACCTATACTGGCGATTGAACCAAGAGTGTTCCCACTGAGCTATATCTCCAGCCCTTCTTTTAAAATTCTGAGACAGGGTCATGCTAATTCGATAAATTGCCTAGGCTGGGCTCAAACTTGGGATCCTCCTCCCTCAGCCTCTCATAAAGTACTGGGATTACAAGCATGTACCAATATACCTAGCTTGAAATTTTTCGATTCGTAAAAAATATTTTTAAAGCATATATTACGTGTATAATAACAAAAAGATTATAATCACAGAAAGACTTAAATCAACATTACTAATTAAAATAACAATGAATATTATTTGTCAAAATGGTAATTGAAGTACAAGTACACTCCTCAAATATTTTTCCCATTTAATGGCAGAAAAGCTGTCAGTCACTTACTTCAGTTAATAATCCACCACCACAGCCAACATCAAGAATCTTCATCCCAGACAAAGGTTTTCCTGGATGGTGATTAGCAACTGTTTTCAAAAGATTGTCTCTTTAAAAAATTTTTAAATATAAAAAAATGATTAATTTTATCAATGAAAAAGTTTAAAAATATACAATTTTGATGAAATGTTAATCCCTATTTAAAATGGGTTACTGATATTCTTAGATAAATGTCATAGCTTGCATTGCCCTCTAATATATTTTATGTTCTGTATAAATAAATATGTCACAGTCCAATGGAGTTCTCAAACTAATCCAAATCACCTGAAAGGTTTGCAGAACCCTGATTGCTAATTTCTCAGATGGAATCTTGAGAATGTGCATTTCTGATGATTCCCAGGTTGATAACTGATTTTGCTGATCCAGGGCCTACACTTTGAAAAGCAGTTGTCTAGCCTAATAAAACAACATTCCTGCTTTTCTCTGACTTAGTATTTGAGTGATCCACAAATTCAATGATAATAGAAAGATGTCAATATTTCCTCTTTGCTGTACTGATTCTGCATGAACCAGCAAAACCCAATCAGAAACTTCCTCGAGAGTAGAGTCTGTGCATGATATTCTGTGTCAACTACAGAGCCTTTCCTATATCAGCTACTCAAAAATGTTTGATGAATAAATAAATGTACAGCCCTAAATGAACTCTTGTCCTTATCTGCCATAGCAAACACAGGGACCATGTTTCATTTATTTCAGTAGCTTTCAGAGTCTAGTCCCAGAGCCCTTTGTAAGACAAGCTCTCAAAAAATATTTGTTGAGTCAACTGTCTCAGTGGTACAGTATTTTTACCTAAATGGCCTAAAGGCCAGTGGGGCCACAGCAGGCCAGTAGCTATAAATGGCCTTGATGACACAGGACCTTAGTTTCCTTTCATGAGAATTTAATTCTGATCAACCTGAAATGTCCAATAATGCTTCAAGTTATATTATGAAAGCAGCCTAGACATTGGGCAGTCTTACTAAAAATTATTAGTTTCAAACAGTGAGTATCAAAGAGATTTTCCCTAATTTCCAAAGAAAACTTAAAATGCAGCATTTTGAACCTAAGTATAAACCAAGAGAAAATACAAAAGATGATGAATTCTTTAAAAGAGTCCCACTGTAAAGACGTGGAGTTTTTGGAATGTTACCTAATAAATGGCACCCGCAGGTCATTCATAGAGTGGAGAGGTGCAAACATTCCCTCCTCATCCCACCACTTGTGAGCCATGGCCAGGAAGGTTTTCACCTCATTGCTGTCAACAGTGGTCTGTGAAGTACTGTACAGTCTTGTCCACAGCTGCCTAAGGAAACAAAGAGCACACAAATACTGATGTCTTTAAAAATAAAACATGGGGTATGTCATGTAGAAAAATATCCTCATTTATAAGTTATGAGATTCTAAATATGTAATTGCTCAATTTTGATGCTATTAATAAAAACCAGATTTTCTTGTAATCATACTGCTCACATATATTCACTGAGAAACAAAATTACAGTGGACCCTCAAGTTATGACTGGCCTGACACACAAACAACTTGGGTTAATTAGGTTAACGGAAGATTCATCTGCCTCTTGTTACCTATAGCATGTACCCAGGTAAACATGCAAATCTCAACTGTATTGACTTACAACCAACTTGAGTTACAACCAGCCCTCAGGAACTGATGGAGTTCGTAAGTCAAGGGTCCACTGTAATTTGTTTTTAAAGTAAGTTACAACTAAAAACATAGTTTATAAAACTTGGGGCCAGGGATTTAACTCAGTGGTTCTGCCGCCTGCCTCAAAAGCACAAGGTCTTGAGTTCGATCCCTGGTACCAAAAAACAAAACAAACTTCGCTTCTGGGTCACATCTAATAATAATAATATAGACTAAAGTCCTTTGCATGGTTTATGAAGCTCAGGATTATTTAGTCCCCACTTCCTTGCTCTCCAAACTCACCTTGTTTTACTCTCCTCATCCTCCGCACTCTAGTCACACAGGCCTTCCTTCAAAGTTCTTCAAAGTGGCCGTGCTCCCTCTTTGCACAGGCACTTGGCAGATTTTGTTCCCTCTGTCTGGAACATTCTTCCAACATTCCCTGCCCCTTTCCTCCTCCAAATGCCTGATTCATTCTTTCTCATCCTTCAGATCTTAGTTTAAATGGAATGTTTGTTATCTACAAAGTCTTCCTTGATCCTTATAAGTGGGTCACAGTCCCCTATTTTAACTCCTATGTAACTTTTACTTCCTTGTGGGCTCATATGATTATTTGGTCATGTCTGCCTCCTCACTAGACCCTAAGCACTGCATAGGCAAGGCATGGACCATTTTATTCCTAGGGACTAGTAGGGTTCCTGGAACATATCCCCTGCTCAGGAGACATTTGTGAAAAAAAATAACCTGAAGGAAAAGGCCAGAGAAGTATATAACTTGCCTAGTCTTTTTTTTTTTCTTCAATCATATGAAAACAAATAGGGACTAAACAGAAATTAGACACTATACTGAGTTCTAAGTCAGAGGAACAGTACAGAAAAAAAATACTCCAAAGGTCTGTTTAGGTAAAATGTTGTTAAGCTAGAAAAGATAATGCCATTCAAATTTCTATTGTATTTCTTAGTTATATATGAAGAGTATATTCTATGGTACCGGAGATCGAACTCAGGACCTCGCACTTGCGAGGCAGGCAGCGGAACCACTGAGCTAAATCCCTGGCCCATTGCTGTTTTTTCTTTTTTGGTACCGGGGATGGAAGTCGGATCCTTACGCTTGCCAGGCAGGCAGCATTGTTTTTTCTTTTAAGATGCAGTCAGGTGTGTTGGCACTTGCTGTAAACCTAATACTCTGGGAGGCTGAGGCAAGAGGATTGATTGCAAGTCTGAGGCCAGCGTGGGGTACTTGGCAACTTAAGGAGACACTCTCTCAAAATTTTATAAAAGCAGGGGCTGGGGTTGTTGATATAGGTCAGTGTGAAGGCCCTGAGTTCAATTCTCAATACTGTAAAATAAGTAAATTCAAATGTCACTTTTCTTTAACATTAATATTATTTTAGGAATATCAGTCTTTTTTCCCATGTTTAATAAAACTTCAAAAACCAAGGATTAATTATAATAACCTTCCTTTCTTCCTGCCTACTTTCCTTCTTTCTTTCCTTGCCTCTGTCCCTCCCTGGGATTGAACCCAGGGAGTGCTGACCTTTTAATTAACTTGTGATCCTTCTGCCTCAACCTCCCAAGTGGCTAGGATTACGGTATGCACTACTGTGTCCGGCTCTGTAATTTGCAACAGATCTCAGTGGTAGCTTCTCAGTTGACAAAGAATGGTTTCTTTCAGACACACAATTTCAAAGGTGCTCATTTACTAGTAGGAGCACACATATAGAAAACAGAGCTCATCCTAATCTGAGCAATATTTTTCACAAAGTTACATACTGGCTTATTCAATACAAGTACAGAAAGACATTACTTTGATCTAATCTTCCTAGAATGTATCCACCTTAATGTATCCACCTTATAATCATACTGTATCCATAACACTTATGATTTTAAGTACCACATTATTATGTTCTGTCATAAGAATATTATAATTTAAAATGTTTCTCCCTGTAATAAGGTCTTCTATTAAAAATAAAGGCTTTTGGGGATTTAGCTCAGTGGCGCCGCACCTGCCTTGCAAGCGCAAGGTCCTGAGTTCGATCCCTGGTTCTAGGAAAAAAGAAGCCTTTTGGGCTGGGGATTTAGCTCAGTGGTTCTACTGCCTGCCTCACAAGTGCAAAGACCCAAGTTCGATTCCCCAGTACCAAAAAAAAAAAAAAAAAAAGGCATCTTGAGTGCCTCTTACTGAAAAAAAGGTTTTCTCTGAATTTAGATGAAGGATATTGACTGGCTATCGACTGTATTACTCTATCAACTTTTCTATGGGTTTAAAATTTTCCAAATTTAAATTGTTAGAAAATAAATTAGTTAAGAACATTTAAATAAATAAAAGCTACTTTAACCAAACCACATAAGCTATTATATACCAACCAAGTTTATTAAACACAAAAAATTACTACTCAATTACTATTGCACATAATTATATAAATATCTGCCAGAGCAATAAATAAACTTACCAGTAACTTTTCATTCTATTCAAAGAGAGAAAGGTCATCCTACAGGATTTGAACCACATGGTTCTGTATTCATCGAAAACCCATGGTTTACTTTGTAAAGTCCAAATAAGCTGGCTATTTGAACAAACTGAAAAAAATTAAATGTATAGAAAAAGTATTACACAGTAAAAATGCTTGATATGCATGTAGTTGAAGAAATTCTATTTTATACAGTAATATTACAACTGATAAACAGGAAAATTTTATTTATTTTTTGAGGTTTTTCTTAACTTTGGATTTTATTTAAAAAATAAAGGTTTCTAAATAGGACACACACATGTGTGTAAATACCGAATAGTTTCTCTAGTGTCAGAAACTGAAAGTGTAAATAAGGATTAAAATGAATAATTGATAATGTGAAATAGGAAAAGGTCCAAAGGTGTAGGGGTGGTGGGAGGAGAAGGGGAAAGGAAAGAAGGGAAAGGAAAAATTATGAGAAAAGAAAAAAAATGGAAACAAAGTCTATGTAAATAGGGAAGGGAGGAGGGGGTGAAGGGCGCACAGGTAATGGAGAAAAAAATAAGAACCAAGATACATCATGTACGGGTACAAGCACCCAATGATAAATGTAAACGTATTGTATACCTAAAATGTACCAATAAAAATTTTTTTAAATAAAGATTTCACATTCTGTCATCTAATTCTAACCAGACATTTCTGAAATTATAATTTGCAAAAGTAATATATGTAAACACTAATTTTTGTATCCACATTATGTTTAAAAAATTATATAAAGTGGGGCTGGGGATTTAGCTCAGCAGCACTGCACCTGCCTTGCAAGCACAAGGTCCTAGGTTCAATCCCCAGTACCAAAAAAAATTGTAAAAAGTGATTTTCAACACCACAGAAATAGAAGCAAAGACAAAAATCACATGATCATCTACACAGGTGCAGAAAAAGCTTTTGACAAAATCCAGTGTCCATTTATGATAAAAAAAAAAAACCTTGAGGAAAATGAGTATAGAAGGGCATTATGTCAATCTGATAAAAGCCATTTATGACAAACCAATGTCCAACATCATATTAAAACAGGAAAAGCTGAAAGCTTTCCCTCCAAAATCAGGAACAAGAAAAGGGTGTCCACTATCCCCACTCCTGTTCAATGTAGTACCCGAAACATTAGCCAGAGTAATCAGGCAAGAGAAAGAAATAAAAGGGATATGTATAGGAAAGACAGAGGTCAAATAATCATTATTTGCAGATGACATGATCCTCTACATAGAAGACCCCAAAATTTCCACCAAAAAACTCCTAGAATTAATAACCAAATTCAGCAATGTAGCAGGATACAAAATAAACACTCAAAAATCAGTAGCACTCCTGTACACCATAATGAACTCATTGAGAAAGAAATAGGAAAACATTATTCACAGTACCATCAAAAAAAATTAAATACTTATGAGATAACCAAGGAAGTAAAAGACACCTACAATGAAAACTGAGGGCTGGGGATTTAGCTCAGTGGTTCCAGCACCTGCCTCGCAAGCGCAAGGTCCTGAGTTCGATTCCCAGTACCAAAAAAACCCCCAAAAACTGAAAAAAGGAGATCAAAGAAGATATCTGAAAATGGAAAGATATCCCCTCTTTCTGGACAGGCAGAACCAATATAGTCAACATAGCCATACTTCCAAAACTGATATACAGATTTAACACAATCCCAATCAAAATACCAATAGCATTCCTCACAGAACTAGAGAAAACAATCCTAAAGTTCATATGGAACCAGAAAAGACCCAGAACAGCAAAAGCATCACAGTCTAGGACTTCAAGTTATACTACAAAACTACAATGATAAAAGCAACATGATATCATGGTATTGGCATAAAACAGACATGTGGATCAACAGAACAGAATAAAGGATGTGGAAACAACCCCAAGCACATTCAGCTATTTGATCTTTGACAAAGAGGTAAAAACCATGCTGGAGGAAAGATGGTCTCAGTGCTGGTAAAACTGGCTATTCACATGCAGTTTGAATACAGACCCATATCTCTCACCATGTACTAAACTAAAATAAAAATGATCAAAGATATAATAAATGTTAGAGAAAGACTTATGTCCTGATAAAATAAGTAAACTCTTGAAGACATAGGCTATCTTAGTTATTTTTTCTTGTTGCTGAGACAAAACACCCAACACCCAAAGTTAAAGGAAGAAAGGTTTATTTGGCTCACAGTTTGTAGAGGTTTCACTTCATAGTTGGCTGGCTCCAAGGCAGGTTGGCATGGCAGAGGGGCATCGCAGAGGAGAAAGTGCATGGCAAAGCAGGGCCAGCAAAAGGCAGATGGCAGCATGGCAGCAACCAATAAGCAACAGGCAATGACCCTCTTTCTGTTTCTTTTTTTTTGGCAGAACCGGAGATCGAACTCAGGACCTTGCACTTGCCAGGCAGGCGGTCGCACCGAGATAAATCTATCCAGGCTACGAGCCCTTATGCAGGTAGCACTCACATCCAGCATGGGGCACCCTTAATTCTACCCAGAACTATGACAAACCAACCAGTGGACTAACTTAGTAATCAGACACCCTTGATCCCAGCACTACACACTCTAGATGTAGCCACCTCTGAAAAGGTCCACATATGACTGCCTGATGGTTTGGGGGCACATCTAGACACAAGCCATAACATAAGCATATGCAAGGACTACCTGAAAAGAATCCCAATTGTACAGGAAATAGTACCAAGACTCAACAAATGGGACCTCATCAAATTTAAAAGCTTCTGCACAGTAAAGGAAACAACCAGCAGAGTAAACAGACAACCTACAGAATGGGGAAAAACTTTTCCCAGCTACACCTTGGACAAAAGACTAATATCTAGAACATATAAAGAACACAAAAAAATAGACCCCCCCCACAATAAAAGACTCAATCAAAAAATGGGCAACTAAAATGAACATACACTTCTAAACCAAGGAAGTACAAATGGCCAATAAACAAATGAGAAAATGTTCAACACTGCTGGCCATTAGAGAAATGCAAGCTAAAACAACACTGAGATTCCACCTTACTCCAGAAGGATGACCATCTTTAAGGACTCAAAAACCAACAAATGCTGCTGAGGCTGAGGGGTGGTGGTGGGGCAACATGACAGGATCCCTTCTGCATTGTTGGTGGGAATGAAAACTAGTAAAACCACTATGGAAATCAGTATGGAAATACCTCAAAAACTTAAAATAGAAATTCTATTTGAGGGCAATTCCATGTCCAAGATCCCTTTGTGGTGGGTATACACCAGAAGGTTTTTTTCTTCTTATTTCCAATAAATATTCTCCTAATTCCCCCCTTTTGTCTGAGATTTTATTCTTCAGTTTCCTGAGACAAAGAGCTTGGGTTTAACTGCTTCGTATTGGAGGTCTCACCAAGATCAACTCTGCACTTTATATCTGGCAAACCAAGACTGACAGGAGGTAACAGATTGGAAAGTGTTTTATTTTTTTCTCTCCATTTAACTGTGATTACATTTATTACATAGACACAATTTGTGTTTCCTCTCTTCCTCTCTCTCTCTCTCTCTCTCTCTCTCTCTCTCTCTCTCTCTCAACTAGATAGCCTTATGCCTCTTCCCTGTAGATAAAGTTCCTGTGTCTCTCAGATTAGGCTAGTGGTAGCAAGCCTATGCACGCATGCCACAGCAGGCTGTGTCACTGAAAGCTCTAAAAGGTTTGCATTGCTAGATTAGGCACTTTCTATTCCTTCTCCCAAACCCTTCCTCCAAGAATTAGAGGTCATTATACCACAGATGATTTCACTGATCGAACAACAACAACAATAACAACAAAAACAGGTTAGGGCCTCAAAGGGCTCCAGGCTATGACCCCAACTGCTGTAGTCCATCAGGGTACAAGCTAGAGTTTTTTCATCCCCTAGTAGAAAATCTTACTTCCCACCTACAACTCACAGCCTTTGCCAGCACCACTCTCTAGCAAGCCACTTTGACGTCTTTTGGAACCTCCCTCACTCTCAACACAGAGGAGTTGATAGTGGCAGCCCATCCAGAGTGAATCTGTCTTCCTCTAGTGATCCATTCCCTGTGGCTGCTGGACTCTTCAAGTGCAGCTTTTCTATTCTTCATGGCAGGTTTTCCATCTGTCCAGAATGGTGAGTTTCCCTCTGTCTCTGTGCCTTACTAATTGTCTCACTAGGTCATCTGGACCAATCTGATCAATAGGATAGTGGCCCCGGTGCCATGGAGCCCCTCTGTTTAGGGGATGATCCAAAGGAGGCAAGTATCTCCTGTGTCCCCCTGGGATGGAAAGTTTGTCATCCTAAGGGACACTTTTTGGGTAAAATTTCTCCATAGGACCCATAATGGGTCTCATGTTTCCAATTTCCTCTGTCTGATCCCCTGGGCTATATTCTTAAAAACTGGTCTAAATTTAATTCTCATGGGAGGAGGCTTGCCAAAAAAAAATGTTCAAAAAAATGTCTATTACAACACCATACCTTTAAAGGATCTGTCTCTCTGGAGAAAAACATTTACATAAGAAACAGTGTGGTTATCAAAGGAGCAGTTTCCAATAATAACTCTAATACAGAGGACTCCAAGGGGGCTATACTGTGGTAGCAGATATTCCAAAGATTAAGATAAACCATCAAACTAGGGTCTTTCTTAAAATAGTCCTTGTTTTCATGGGCATAAAAGAGATAAGGCATCAAATTTCAGAATAAGGAGAGATAATAATTTATAGCTTTTAACAATTATACCTAACAATTTAACATCTAACAATCTATAGCTTTTCTATCTTCCTCCTTCTGACTCTTATTGGTGTTAATACAAGAGGTCTCTGTTACAGCTCACCTAAAAACTGCTACCATACCACCTAGACAAGGTTCTGACTAGTCTATTTATAGCTATAAACCTAAAATTGTAAAAAAGATTATTACAATTCAGCATGGCTAATACATTTAAAAGTGCACTATGATTTTGATATATTTGCTTTGTATGTTCTATATGTTTCCTTGTCTGCCTATAGAATGTTTTAATAACTGGTTAAAGTACCTGAAGCTGCTTCATGAAAGATTTTTTTAGCTTTTATCAATTTCATCTTTCCTTTTAATTTTTGTCCTTTTAAACTTTTGGCTCTT